TATTTCAGATTTGTTCATAAGAAAGTTAATGGATATCCTTACATGTAACTCTCCAGCATTTTGAGGCAGTCCTGAGGGTTTAATGCCAGAAAACCTGTAAGTTATAGAATCATAGAATGCTTTGGGTTGGAAGGAACCTTAGAGATCACCTAGTTTCACCCCCCCAGCCATGGGCAGGGACACCTTCCACTAGACCAGGTTGCTCAAAGCCTCATCCAGCCTGGTCTTGAACACCCCTCCAGGGCTGGGGCACCTTTGCCTTTTTAAATGTTTTGTTTCCTCTTGGCAGCATGTCAATCCAACTGTGAAGAGTCACATGGTAGATCGTAGGAATGATACAAGCTGAGAAGTGACTTGCAGCAACCATGTTCGGTTTAGCTCCCGACTCAAGTCAGAACACCAATTCAAGATTGTGGGAATGCGTACTGAAACTAAATTGTTTTGGTTCTGCTTCACTAGTATTGTGAAAAGCTATACCAAAAAGTCATGAATTACCATTTTTTATACAATTCCAGCTGTATGAAAACCTACTGAAACAATTTGGTTTCAATTTTGCATCTGAAAAGCCTTTCTTTGTACAATAAATAGCAACAAAACTCAATAATGAACACAGTCTTAATCTGTCATTAGCAATTACAAATTAACAAGCAAATCAGTATTTCAAAGTATCACTACACCTTTTGTAGTCTAATGCAACTTTAACGTATTTCTTATAGCATATGGGGAATTACTTTTCCTGTGGTTCAGTTAGTTTGCACAACACTGGAAGAGTCCTTCAGTATGATCAACTTTTCATAAGGAAAAGGTCTTACTTGTCCAAGATCTTCAAGTCAAGGAAGCACAGAATGCAGACTGTTGAATTTCTGTCTACCCAAGTTTTCATTACTCTAGATAAATGCTATGGAGATATTAGCAAGCGAAAGAGGGAGTACCACTGGATTAGACTCTTGGAATAGATAAGTAAAGCATGAGGCTTTACTTGCTTATCAATGTTAACTGGTTATCAGTGACTTAAATCAGAGACAAAACAGTACATAAAATATCAGAAATAACTGTCGGATGATGAAAGACATTTTGGTTACCAAGATTATTTACATGGCTTATATTAATTTCTGGAAGTCTTTAACGGTAAGTAGAATAACAATATTTTTGATGCTTCCATAACCCCAAATAGTTCCAATTATACATAAGGCTTGATAGAGCTCTCATAGCTAAGATGTTAACAACGACGTGAAGATTCATACAGTGAGAAATAATTGAAAGCAATGGTATTATTTTAAGGCAGAAGTGTTGGTGGAATATTAGCATGTCAGAAATCTTAACTTGCAGGTAAAGCACTGTTCCTTTTACGTACTTAGAAGTAGGCTGCAGTTCACAATAAGAAAAAAATGCAGTGGTAGGCTTTTACATTTTTAGAGCTAAGCCATTTATAACCCCATTTTACACTGTTCAAACATAAATCAAACAATTTCCTGTCGCTTAAACTACCACACTGTTTCCATCCGACTGCATGGGTGGTAGCACATGGCTGCTGGGGCACGCTGACAGTAGAAGAACTTGGAGTGACATTCCATGGGACCACCAAATCTCCTTGGCTTCTCCAGTCCCCTTCCAGCCCTCCCTTCAAGTGGGAGAAAGACATGACCCTTCCCAAACCATAATACCTCAACTATTAGCAGGCTATTACTCCTCCACAGTGGTTATGTACATCCAATTACAAGGCTGCGTGCGTTTACTGGGAATGAAAACAATAGTTGCTTTCATTCCTGGACCAGTTCAAAGTCCTGAATCAGGACTCCAAAATTATACACGCCCTCCAGTAAGAACCAGGTAACTCAAACACCTTATTCTGTGTCTTGAATTCTAAGAAATGTTTTCACTAATGTAAAACTAACACAGCAAAAGGCATACTGCCTGCCATCCAGTACTACAGAATTCTGTGCATACATGGCAAAATTAGCTGTAGAGAACTAAGATGTTCATTCAGGAATGAGTATGTGATTGCAGGCCTGCCTCTCATATGGAGGAATGGAGACAAATAGTTACAGAAATAATTTTGAGGCATCTAGCTTGCAACTGTGACCCGATTTCTAGATTTGCTGCAGAGATGAGGCTTCACCATTTCACAAACCACTTCAGTACACTGCATCAAACCGGGCTCACATTTTAGCCAATTTGTAATTCATCAAAAACTCCAAGTGCCAACTAAGACACACCAATACTGGTTAACAGTAGTCAGCAACCATTTTGAAATAAATAAAGAAGTGATTTCTAGCTTAATGTGCTCTGCAAATAACCTCACAAAAATTTAATGCTTGAGATAGGAGTTTTCCTCTCCTTCTGCGGTCTTCTGTTTGGGAGAGGATCAGAGAATTTCCTTAGAACACACACTTCCTATTGGGTTAGTGTGCTCCCACTGAAAACTTACGGTTTACAAGTGAAAAAAAAGTTACCAAAATCTCAACTCCTGTCAAGTTGCAAGGATCTTTTAATTGTTGTTTTTCTTTTATTTCTTGGTTTTAGTTGAGTTTCCTGCTTCCCACTCAAAATGACAGTGCATGATACAATCCACTGCTCACAAACTCCTGATTTTTCTGGGATTAATATGTATAACACCACATTTTGGACAGACAGCTTGCTTTTCTCCATCAACATACACAGGTGAGAGATGACACAGAGCTATACCATCACTTCTCTTGTTCAGAGTATTTAATGGACTCACTACACTGATTTTTCTTCCTGCCCAGCAATACAAATACAGACAGCAACTGGTTAAGAATTAGCTGCATTTATGTTAGTACCTCAGGAAGCAAGGAGGTCGTTAGGATTTGGACATTTTTAAGACTCAGTTTGACAAATGCACGACCAACCTAGTCTGAATTCAGTGCTGACCCAGTTACAGTCAAGGGGGGCTGGACTAGGTGACCTCCAGAAGTCCTTTCCATCCTGGATTTAGCTAGTCTGTCTGTAGTCTGGAGAAATCCTGACAACAACTGTACAGCTACCGAGTTATTCATCTGTGCTGCTGGAACTACATCAAGGCATGAGTTTAATACTGAAGTGTTCAAATTTACTTAACTGCAAGAAACAGTTATTCCCTAGAGGAAGGTTTTAGCTAAACCAAGTAACTGGTTTACAAGCTGCCACTTGGCTACAGTAAGCATACGTACAGTTTTACTTTAAAAACACATATCGGGTAAGCAGCAGTAGATGGGGTTTTACTTTAAAGTTGTGGTCACAATACAGCAAAGCAGAGCTTTAGTAGCAATACCAAGCAACTCCTACCTTTCCCCATCCTCGCTTCTCCCACCCAGTACTCCCATCCTCTGATTTGCATCAATACTATGTCTACCAGAGAGCAAGGAACCACGTTTAAGAATTCCCTTGTCAAGGGATGCGGAAGTTAACCTGATATAGTTTAATGCACCAAATCCTACTTTGTAGCACCAAAACATTGTATAAGCAAAATGAAGGGCAAGACGTGCTAGAAATGATGGGCATTGGCAGAGGGGATGGGAAGAGCAAACGAAAAAAATTCTTCTCATGGGTACCAGTAAAGTTGCAGTCTCATCAGATCACAGCACAAGTTCTGAAACGTTGAGATGCTGCTTCATGCTTTTACCTTAAGCAACCTTTTTCCAATAGGAAAAACTTGGAAGGTATTCCACTGACTACCATAATTTCAATATACAATGAGTTAAGGAGTGACAGCTTTAGCTATAGAAACTTCAGTAGTAAAGTTTTTTATTTTCAACAGCAAAAGACTTCTGCTTCTGAAGGTGCATTTGATTTTTTATTTTTTTTTATGAAGGGAAGAATTTAGTTCTAACCCCGCCATGCTTACATTTATTTCTAGTGATAGCGTCATAAATCTACCCTAGATTAATAATCTAAGGGAAGAAATATAGATGTATATCTGTATGCATCTCAGTTCTTTTAAGACCATAATTACAGACAGGAAAACTATAAATTGGTGTTTAGAGAGGTGAGGTGTCTTCCAAGAAATCAGTGGCTTACAGATAGGTACCCAGTTCACCGAGCAAGTCCCTCACATTAACAAGGATCAAATCAGAGAATAGCCTATGTGCACTTTCTTTGAGGGACTCATCCCATAAAGGACTATATACACAGATTTTTATCACGCTTCACCACCTGTATATAATTAAAAAGAGTATTTTGGACTGTTTTATAATCTTAGATTAAGTGGGTTAAAAAAAAAAGAACAGGTTTTACTGGGTATAGCTGGGTGTGCACACTTTCCAAATTACAGTGTACTGCAGCGTAGTAATTTATAGCCACGCTACCTTTGCAATTAGCTATATTGCCACACTTTGTTTAAAAAAGCACATAACCTACAAGAGCATTTCTGAACATCTACAGTACAACTGCAAAATGTAGTTTCCAGTTACCAGACTGGAACAGCAGCCTACAGGCCAGTTTTGAGATTTCCCCACCCCCAGTATAAGTCTGAGCTTAATCAGCAGCTCAAGCAGAAGTCTCTCTTTTGATTATACTCTCCCCTTTCTAGAAAATATAGAGCTCTATCAAAATTAGGTTAAACAAAATATGCTATGTCCTGAAACAAGGGCTCATTCCCATTGCGGTACCATACAGTTGCTTATCACAAACGCTTTGTACCTGAGCTCTGTATTTTCTCCTCTTCACTTTTACATCATTTCAGTAATTTTTAGTTTTAATTCCACAAAATGCTGTTATATAACGAAACTATAAATAATAATATTTAGATATTGCTTCTTCTAATAGCACCACATCCTCCTAAACACATTCCTTACGTGATGAGATTTTACAATGATGAGGTGTAACCTGCCTTTTTCCCCCTGCCCCGTATTAGCAATTTGCTATTTAGATAGAAACTTATTTAGCAGCAAAAATACAGCTCTGTACCATCCTAAAAGTTCTGTCAGAAAGTACATTAAATATGATATATTATTTTTAAGAAAGTGGTTAAGTGGTAGTATTCCAGTGAAAAATTCTCTTACCAGAGCTTGATGATGGAACAACTCCTTTGTGAGAAGGTGCTTTAATTGTGCCGATAGTTTTATTTTCACATCCTCTCTTCAAAGGCAACACAGATGGCACCATTTTAACCTTGGGAGCTGATACACTTCGTAGTGTGATTGTGCCCTTCTTCGGTATGTTTTTTCCTTGTGTTGTCCCATCTTTCACAGAAGGCATCTGGGTTGTTTTTTTTTTAAAAGAAAAAACCAAAACAATTAAAAAAACCCAACAAAAATCCCACACCACCACTGTGACAAGCTGAAGATCTGCCTTGCCTTTCCAGCATCTGTAATGAAATACTGACCACCCAGGTAAGAGATATGCTTAGCTGTTCAGTGTTGCATTGTCCATATCTGCAGTTCAGAACCTCAAGAATCATCGCCTGAACAGCCTTCAGCAGCACAAAACTATTAGTTTGAAGCTAATCACTGGTAATGACAAACATACTAAAGAGGCTACAGAGGTCATTTTACATCAGAATTTCTTCCTCTTCCTCCCCAAACTCTAATTAAGCCACTCAATTACATGACTGGACCTAATCTCAAGATGGATTCTTTACCAAGCAACTACAAGTCAATGCACTGGGAAGTCAGCTGTCCTGCATTACCTGAAACATCACAGCCCTTATAATAGGTTTCCTGGTCTTATGTTACAACACAGCAACAGGTTAAAAATTTTCACGCTCGGGTGCCACAGATAAAGCAAATTCAGAGTGGACCCAGGACAGGTTTAAAATAACTGGTTTACATGTAGTACTCATCTACATTTCATACAGAATTCTTGCTCCAGTTTATACAGGCACTAATTCATGACCACTCATGCTGTAAAGTTAAGGCTGTAAAGTTAAAACTCATAAGTACGTACAGATCTTCATATGCTTTACTGTGGCTCAAGCCGATACACAACCACTTGGTCATATTAATGCACTTTCCACTTTTGTCTCCAATCCTCATCTTAATTTTCACAAGTTAAATCTGTACTTTTTCAGAAGACCACTTAAGTTTAGTCCAGCTGATTGGTCTACTGCACATTTTACAGAAATCACTCTACGGACTTGCCAGGTACCAGCAGAACAATTAATATCACAAAAGTTTCCATTGTGGTGACAGGGTGAAATAAAAGCATCCTCTCCAACTCACAGCAGCACCAAAACGAAGGAGTAAAGCAGAATTCAAGCTCTTGAAAACTTTAGTATTAAAATAGACCATCCCTGCTTTCATGTTAATTTAGGTTTAAGTCATTTATTATAATAAATTATATTATTTATTAATTTATTCTGTAATGTTTCAAAAATTGATAGCTGCTTCTGTTTTACCTGATGTAGCTTCCTCCATATACTGAGCTTTACTGGATTTTTTTCTGGCAAATCAGTAAAGCCTGACAAAAATTCAGACAACATCAGTTTTACCAGTAACAGCTGCTGCCTCCATTTCACCGATTTAACATACGCTGTTGAACCCACAACCAAACAACAGGATGGTCTCCATATAGCATCAAGACTCAACTCTGTGTCCCTACCGTGCCTCCTGAGATCTTGATCAACTGGGCCCCGAAGGTCTTCGCTTCTTTCCCACCGTTCCCTTTTCTTTTAACCTTCTTTCGGAGTATTTGAAAGCAGCACGTTCCTCCTGACAGGCAGCTGACTCGTCCAAAAATATTTCCCAACCAACCAGCACATGCATACCTCCCGGCCAGGAAGTTTGTACCTTCCAGCTGGCTCACTGCCCAAAACCAGGTATATGCCCTCCGCATGAGAAATATTTCCTGGCTACTCTTAACTATTCTAATGAGTCCCGATTCTACTTCAAATAAAAAAACTCCCAAGTTATTCAAAGCAGACAGTTAAATAAAGATGTTAAAATACGCTTCAACAACTTGTTGGTCTTTGGGGTTTGTGTGACTTAATATTATTGTTAATATATGCATATAATTTCTGTAAGTAAATTTAAGAAGTGTAATTTAGTTTTAAATCAAGTTTTGAAAGAAAAAAAAAAATACCGAAAACAGCAATTTTTCTCTTATGTCTATTTAAAGTTGTAGCACCACTAGAATTATCTTGATAAAAGTGCATATTAGAAGCTATATTTAGAAAAACCCCAGCAAGTTATGCTGTGCAATTTTACCAGTTTGACTAAGTTAAGACTTGTTTGCTTTTATCACAAGTCTTACCAACTGCATTGTCTTAAAAAGACTTTACAAAAAAAAAAAATTATACCATGGAATAAGATGAAGGCTTAAGACAATAAATTGCACTTGAGGCCAAGTGCAGCCTGTCTATAAAACGGTATTTCTTTGCTCCCTTTACTGGGGAGACACTTCACCTCAGAAAGCAAGCTACAGTTACATTTGTAGACACAAAACCCATTCCACAGTTTCCATTCAGCACCATGCAATGCAGAATTCCATGTAAAAAACTTCTACAAGCAAGTATGTAAAGAAAAAAGGCTTACCAAATGAACAGAGTGCAGGTCAAACGTTTCATTTGCCACATCTTTTAACAAGGCTGCTTCGAGATGAATTCCCATGTCACTGCTTTGCTCTTTTTCACCTCTGGTCGAGTAGATGGTTTGGGCACAGGGCTGCACTAAAGAGTTTGAACTTTCCATTTTATCATTCAGCATCTCTTTAGAGTTCTCTGCACACATTGGAAGCACAGCAGAAACCGAGGAGCATGCCGAATGGGTAGAGTTTGCTTTGCCAATATCTTCCGGATTCTGCTTTAATGCAGGTGTCTTTGAAGCCTTGTGGGAAGCGTTTCTGGGATGTGTTCTGGCATGTATGACTTGGCTAGTGAAGAGGTGTTTGTTAAGATGTAGCTTATGGGGCTTATTCATAGGCAATTCCACTTTAGTATCTTTAGCTAGATCTATTTTCTTTTTCAGCACTTTTATAGAGGGGGACAATTGCCTCGGGGAAGCAACTAATGAAGGTGAGGAGACAGCTGATAGCTGGGGGGACTGAGGAGACTGTTTTAATGCTGCACTGTCCCTTGACTGTAGCACAGGTCTAGACATAACCTTTGGCTTGACATTTCTGAAATTAGGTTTAGGAAAACTAACAATCTCCAATTTCTTTCCTTTGGTTATGGTTGATACAACAGGAGCCCTGCCCACTGGTTTTCCTGCAGTTTGACCTGAACTAGCTTTAAGCAAAGGCCTTCTATTATGCCCTCCTACAAATGCCTCATTTGGTCTTAGTTTAGGAGACTTGTCTCCAAGTTCTACCATAGCTGAAACAGCAAAAGTTTTATCTTTTGATCGTTCTTTAGGGGTTGAAGTACGTAGAGCAGAATCACCTTCATTAGCCATAGGACTGAAGACCACAAAAGTTGCTTCACATTTCAGGTCAGGCATAACAGTCCTCTTTAATTTTGGTACGCTGCAGGATATGAAAGTGGCATTATGCATATCCTGAAGAGCAGCATTTGCAGAAACAGTTTGTTCTTTGGTTAAGAGTTCACTGGTTTTCTTTGATGCTTGTTCTCCATCCATTTTATCTATCGGAAGAAGGTGCACATTACTCACAGGACCATCCATGCACATTTTAGCATTGAAATTCCCCATTTTTTCATGGTCAGGGGTGTCCTGCAAGGATTTCACTTGGTCATCTTCATTAATACTAATGCATGATGACAATGAATCTTGCCTATAAGGAGCTATACATCCAGATAGTTTTACAGACTCTGCTTCTGTTTCCTGTGATTCTCTATGAGTCTTGTCAGTGTTTTTTAGATAGTGTTCACCACCTGTAGAAGCAGGACTACATACTTCAAGTTCTGAATAGGCATCTGGGCTTTCTGAAGCCACTAGCACAGAGGTGAAATTAGGTGTTCCTTCTGATCTGGTTCTATCAAACTTTTCTCTTGTACATACTTCAGAAGAGATTAGTGTATCCCTCAGATGCATGTCATCATTTTGATCAGTTCCCAGAGTTTCACCTATAACATCAGTAACATCCAATGTGCTCAGGCGGCAGCATGCCCTGTCATTTATCAGGGACTGCGTGTTCTGCTCTGAAGCAGGAAGAGGTAATACACACTTAGAGTCAGTCTGACTGTAAGGCACCGGTTGTTTGATACTCTGATTTTGCATTTTTGCCATAGCAACATTAGCCTTCAGTGAGTTTGCTGTTTCTTTCAAGTCACAGTTCAAAGGATATAGACAAGTCTGTTCAGTCACAGAAGACTTGCATGCAGCATCTGCATCTCCCAACAGGGCTCCTGTGCAGTTGGATTTAACAGGTGTCTTCTGCAGACAATGTGCTTCAATATGCTGCTGTTTTAAAATAATATTTCTAAAGTCACTCTTAATTGTACCATCTTCATGCTCGGTCACTATATTTTGGTCAGATGAATCATGGTGTATCTTGGTGGTACAATTCTCTGAGGAAGGTGTAGCTCTGTCACATGCATAGTTATTTCCATTTTCATCCCTTATAAGTAAGGAAGACTTCAAGCCATTCTTTGCTTTGTCATCTGACTTTTCAACATTCATTCTGAAGGCTAAATTTTAAACTGTTTTCATTTTATACGTATTTAAAATCCTAGTGAATGCAGATTCTTCTGAACTTTGCAGAAAAGAACACAGCTTTTCCCTGGAATGTGTTAACAGTCCTGAAAGACATTTAAAAAGTAGCTTTCTGTTTTCATGTTTCTCAAGAGAACTCAAAAGTTCTGGAATTAAAAAGAAATTAAAAATTATTAGCCAAATCATGATTTTAGGACAGCAAGCATTCTTAAGCTATTAGTCTTTGAATCAAATGAAGCCATTTTGAGCAACTCACTTAAGCAAATCAGGCTTTTACAATGATGCCATCCATTCACGCTTAACTTCACAAGCCATTTCTGCTTCCCTGACTGCCAAGCAACTTTTGAACCCTTTGGTCAGTTGCAATCAAGTAGGACTTTAGAGTTGCATTCTCAGATACTTGGCTTGCTTGGCTTCCACACACGCAAAAGAACAACCCAAAAGATTTGCTTTGCGTGGTACTTGAAACATCTGTCTCAGACTAAGGGTAAAAAAAAAATAAAACAACAACATGAACAAGGAAACAACAAGCTACCAAGATCAGACAGCACCCTCCTCTGCCCCTGCTTCCACCTCCAAGACGAAAGGGCTTGACTTGCTTAAAATCTCCCAGCTCCTTAAGGCTGGTCTAGATCATTGCCTACCCACTATTATTCAATCTCTATAGAAGCATTAACAATTTTAGTACCCTCATTTTAATCTTCCATTAGGAAACATAGCGCAGTTTCGAGAGTTCTTAAAAAAAAAAAAAAAAGCCTTCTCTGAAAGCTGGGCAGGAACCTGTCCTGAATAATTTTCCATTGATTTAAGTCAATCACTGAATCAACTGCTGAAAAATATTTGTAAACTTTGCTTTCACTGTTGTTTTGACACATTAAAACTAGTTTCTACTTGTTTGGAGACTAGCCCATAACACAGCTTGCTCATTTAGTCATGCAACAAAAAAGTTAAGATTCCATTTTGGTTCAGCATTAGCTCAGATTCAACCAGCAGTCTCCTCTTTCAAGAGTCTTTTCACTACAGAAAACAGGGAACTCCGATATGCCAACACTTAACAAGACTGAGATCGCAGGAATTTAAAGGATGATATGTTAGTTTACAGTATGCATAGCTAATAATGCCAAAACTTGAAACAACACAGGCAGCTAAGTAAACTTTGATCCAATCAATGTTGAAGAAGCTCCAAGAAAAATAAAAGTAGTTTTGAGACTGAATAGAAGTGCATTAAAGTTGTATATACAAATGCGTACATGCATGTACAGAAGTTTGGTCACTCAGTGCTCTGGACTTTCACATGACCAGCAAATATATATAAATAAACCACTGATTCAACTATTTTTAAAGTAAATTTTCACTTTAGTAATCAATACTTTCATGAGCAACTAGATCAGCTTCAAATATAGCTTCATATCCACATTTAGAGTCCTAAAAGTGTCCTGCATAAAAAGTGAAGTATTTCTAAGGTTTAACTATAGTGTATAAAAATGTTAGTATAGATTAACAGTCCTCAAAAAAACTGATATTCTGTAACACTGCATGTACTAATATGTTTCTCAGGTTTATATGAAGTATTCCTGGTGATGAGCAATTATTTAGATTTAAGACCTACCATAGGAGGCTGAATGAAAAATTAACCTCAGACAGCATCTCCTCCACAGCAGCAGCCAGTAGCAGATGCACAGACAAAACAGTTACCCTTACGAAGAACATTCCTTTCCAAGAATACACTGTTCCTGGCAACTAGCCACTTAGGGAATTCTCTAAACTAGCTACCAATAAACTTGCTTTGAGTTTGTCTTACATCAACAAGCATTATGCACACCAGGCCTCCATAACACCCTCCAATGCAGTACCAAAGTTCAGCTGTTTTGGGCTTTCAGGAAAGCTCAACTTGTCATATTTCAGTTGTACATTTCAAGTGCTTACACATTGCAATGACAACAACAACAACAAAAAAGAAGTCTTGGTTATCAGAGCTCTAAGCTTCCCCTTCCTCAACAGATGTAAGAGCTTGGGCCAACAGAAGCATCACCTTGAAACCCCAGGGAAAGGAGCCTGTCAAGCAGATTCTCCTAAAAGGAGAAGAGATCAGCTGCCAGCAGTGCCATATCCAGGAGAAATACACTACAACATGCAGAACAGGGCTTGGAACAAGATCTTGTCACTTCTACTAACCTACAAGGGGTGTCCAGGGGTGTGCCGTGGAAGGGCAGAGGGACAGTGATCCATTCAGTGCCAGGTAAACAGGAATCAAAACCATATCAATTACTATAGATAAGTCAAGCTATAAGTTTACAAATTGCTACAGGAATGTAAGTCAGTTTGTGTTAGTGTCACAACACAAACAGTAATAATTTATATATTTCCTGGTACTCCATCTGGAACTCTGTTCTTTCACCCACACAATCACCTGGCATTTACTCAAACCTATCAGTTATGTTTGTGTAGTCTGTATAAAGGGGAAAAAAAAAAGCCATCTGAAAGGGAAGCACGTGCCCAGACATGTGGAAAGGCGGTCTAGAAGTGCTCTTACTCAACTGAACATGCTTTGATACTAGACCAAACACATATTCAGCATCTGTATTTCAGCAGAAAACAGTATTACACATTCATGATTACCAGTGTCACTGAAGTCAGAAACCATTTAAGTCACTTCACATGTCAACACATTACACTACAACCAGTTTATTTGACCATGTTCTGGAATACAACACAAACACATGATTCTGACTTTTTCCAGCACATACACCTGAAGGCAGAGATGGCAGCATCCTGGACAGAGTCTAATGAAACATCTGCAGCTACTATGCATCCCTCCCAACATGCTCTGTCTAGTGTTGCTCATACTGGGAAGAAACACAGTTTGAGGTAACACTGCATTTGCACAGAATCATAGTTTCAGTGCTCCCTGTGTAACCTCAGTAATGTCACATCCTGATATGAACTAGCCTGTTGCCAAGCCAATTCAAACTATTAGAAAAGACAATGAGTTAATCACCTAAAACAACTTCACTCAAACATTTATAACATTAGAAGTACAACATACTCCCAGAAGTGAATTACATTAAGTGCTCGTATGGTAATGGCATTGCTTTCTCCGGAACACACAGTATCATCAGCGCTGGCACTGTGAACGTGCTCTAACAAAACAAACCAAACAAACAAACCAACCAACCAAAAAACACTAACCCACAGGGTACCTAAGGGACATCTGTATGCTTTACTCAAAGCCATTTAAAAAATCAAAATCAATGTGAGGCACTTGCTATGGTAAGCAGAAATAACGTACAAGTTATGTTTGCAAGCACTCATGCAGGCACGTTTGACTGAACGAGTAGTATCACTTTCACAGGCATGAACCATCAGGTTTTGCCTCCTACTTGGCTATTTGCCAGTCAGCTTCAAGACTGAAGCACAAGCATAACATCCAAGTTATAGTAACCAAGGAGCATGAATTTTAAGCAGTTAAATCTTCACATTAAGGTATGGAAGAAGTAAAGTGGAAAGGCAACTGAGCACACTGCTGCAGAAACCAGACATCCTGAAGTTGTGTGAGAGGTGCTGACTTCCCATAAAATGTTCAAACCATGACACAGTACCATCAGACTATCCCAAAACATACGACTACTGATGCTAACAGGAACATCTACCCTTGTAGCTTGCTCCTACTAGTGACTTAAATGGTTACTGAGACAGCAATGCCAGTGCTTTCTTCCAAAGGCCCCCAGGGATTCAGTCCTGAGAGCACTGGTTCAATGGAAAGTTTCAACTGCTTTTGGAGAGTTCTCTTCCTTGCCTATAGCCATTGCTTCATAAGATGAAGAGTCCTTATCTACGTAATTGTTCATGAACTCTGGCCATCCTTGTTGGCCTATCTTTAATGATGCTAGGCTACTGTCTCCATCTTCAAGTTCAGACTATTATTTGTAAGCACATAATACACTCAGACATTACAACAGATTTATGCAGTGTCTTGGTAACACAATTTTTCTTCCTTTAATAATTGCCAACTTCTGATTTTTACTGTAAGGTACATTCTGAGAGAACTCTGTATTCAGAAGTGGAAGAGTAGTCCAGGGATTTTTCTTAAAAGTATTTGAGCCCATAGATCAACTTAGATAACTTGGAAACAGTGTCTAGAAATGGTATTTCGTATTTTGGGGATTTGGAGGTACAAACCCCTTGACCAGGAAGCTTTACAAATGCACATGCCCTTCCCCCACTGTGTTTTACAGCAACTGACTAGATGAAACTCCCAGAGATAAGCATACAAGCCAGTGATGAATGCCAGCTATTAAGACAGTACAAGTGAGCAAGTGTACTTTATTATTTGAGATTAAGCGCACAAACAAAACCAAAGCCACCTGTTTGAGTTCACAAATGACCACAACAAGCCTCTCACTTGGATATTCCAGCATTCTCTTACGACTTAATCTGGTTCTCATTCGTAGCTTCATTAAGACAGCATTCATTGCTAAAAGTGGCACAGACTACTCATGGGGTTTTCAAAGTAGGGTGCAGTACACAACTGCACACATGGTCAGGCATATACTTAGCTATCATTTGTTTATCCATTGTCATCATAATCAGAAGCTGGGCATGGTCTTCCATGAGATCAGTATTCAGTATGTTACTCTTTAGGAACTTGTAAGAATGACATTACATTGTCACTTCCCAGTTAAATTAGTCATCAGCTTTTCTGGAAGATGCTTTGGGGTTTTTTTTACTATTTTATCACAACTAAATTGTTTAGCAGAAGCACACATTCTTGTACAAGGATAAACTTTCAGGTCAAAATGAAAGTAAGGAGCTAGAACTCAAAAAAACCCAAAACAATAGCACATATATTATGGCACTTCTTGGAAGGCTAAGGTTCAAGTCCTTCTTTTTGAAAGACTCGACTGAATAGCTAAGTACAAACAAGACAGACTGTTAGAGCCCCATGTTCAATAATCCTAATCAGTCTT